GAGTTTTGAGAACATAGTTCGCGCTGAGTACACTCTAAAAAAATGCTGGGTTAACATAACCCAATTTGGGTTATTTTGGCAACCCAACGCTGGGTCAAATATGGACAAACCCAGCGTTGGGTTATTTTAACCCAGCCGGTTGGGTTAAATCTTTGACCCAACATGCTGGGTTGTTTTATTTAACTCAACTATTGATTAAAATTACTACATTGCTGGTTAAAAACAAACCTGAAATAGGTTTAATAATAATAATAGTAATAAAAAAATCACAGAGAATTACTAGAGGCAACAGTAAAAATCAAAAGGTAAAAATGTATTAATAAAAAAGAACATCCAAATGTAAGACAAAAGAAAGCATATAATTCATATAGCAAAAAGCATGATATATTTTTATGCTCAATGAACAATAAAACAGCATATAAAACATTTAAATCCAATTTCCGTTTTATAAATATCAAAATAAATAACATCAATAAATTACATTAGCTTCGATTTTAACATTTACATTATATACACAAGTAAACACACAAGTAAAATGCTTCATATATATTAGTTTGACGACTTTCCCCTTCATATAAACTCACATAACTTTTTAGAGAGTAAGTTTAACAAAGAGGCACAAGAACACAGTGGCACAAGTAAAATGCTTTAGATATATGTATTAGTCTGACAACTGTTTGCCAACAACAACAAAGGCTTGATGGCATTGACTGTCATCCCCAAGACCAAGGACAAAGGGGAAGGGTTTAGTGAGCTCAGCCTCCTTCAAGTATTCAACCATGTTGGTCCCAACCTGTTAAAAACAGAAGAATGTTAAAAACATACAACTCACTATGCATTCACAATGCAGCATTATAAAACAAAATCAATCATTAATATTTTATATATCGTGCAGTTGACTCAAATGACATTCTACATTCATTTGCATAATTAGTCCTTCAGTCTTTATAGGGTGCTTCTCAAATGGAAGGTTGCATCCTAGTAAGGCTGTGTCTGTCCAAGTCCAGTCCTTCTGAGGCTTCTAGGCTATAGAGTCCTGCTCAGTATTAAATGCTACAATGAGACATCTAGTAAGTGCGCATGGCTTTGCTATGTCATAAATGTTTTCACCCCCATGGTCAAGCACAAAGGGGGGAAAAAAATATATTATAAATCTTTATATTAACTGACTTTCTATTAAAGCAGTACAGGCAATTACAGATGTTTGTGGTCTCCCAGTGGCATTATGTTATTAATTTACAACATAACATGCCTTTATCAATCTTTTTTTTTTGCATTACATAGTGACAAGTAGCCACACAATATCAGTCTATATTAGCACAGCTGTGATTTGGATGCAAGTAGATTCTACATTAATTTGCATAATTAGTCCTTCAGTCTTTATTGGGTGCTTCTCAAATGGAAGGTTGCATCCTAGTAAGGCTGTGTCTGTTCAAGTCCAGTCCTTCTGAGGCTTCTAGGCTATAGAGTCCTGCTCAGTATTAAATGCTACAATGAGACATCTAGTAAGTGCGCATGGCTTTGCTATGTCAATACAGGTTTTCACCCCCATGGTCAAGTACAAAGGGGGGAAAAAAGTATATTATAAATCTTTATATTAACTGACTTTCTAGTAAAGCAGTACAGGCAATTACAGATGTTTGTGGTCTCCCAGTGGCATTATGTTATTAATTTACAACATAACATGCCTTTATCAATCTTTTTTTTTTTTTTTTTCATAGTGAGCTCAGCCTCCTTCAAGTATTCAACCATGTTGGTCCCAACCTGTTAAAAACAGAAGAATGTTAAAAACATACAACTCACTATGCATTCACAATGCAGCATTATAAAACAAAATCAATCATTAATATTTTATATATCGTGCAGTTGACTCAAATGACATTCTACATTCATTTGCATAATTAGTCCTTCAGTCTTTATAGGGTGCTTCTCAAATGGAAGGTTGCATCCTAGTAAGGCTGTGTCTGTCCAAGTCCAGTCCTTCTGAGGCTTCTAGGCTATAGAGTCCTGCTCAGTATTAAATGCTACAATGAGACATCTAGTAAGTGCGCATGGCTTTGCTATGTCATAAATGTTTTCACCCCCATGGTCAAGCACAAAGGGGGAAAAAAAAATCTATTATAAATCTTTATATTAACTGACTTTCTATTAAAGCAGTACAGGCAATATGTTGTTGCCTGGATAGTCCACAACTTTTTTGTTTTGTTTTGTAATTTTCATGAGTTTAGGATGCTGTGTTGTGTTGTTTAAAGATCATATTTTTTCATTTAGTACTACCCATCAGAAGTTTCATATTATTTACATATTTCACAGAAGACAAAAGTAAAATGAAATGGAGAGTGAACTTATTGAAAATTATTTATGATCATTACTTTTAATACATTGTGTTTCCTTCTTGATAATCAGTGAATGTTTTCACTCTTTGTAATGGGATGTTCAATAAAGACATACAAGATTATAATTATAAGTCATTATCTTAAAGGCAGAGTTCATCCAAAAATTAAAATATTTTTGTTAAAATTACTCCCCCTCATGTTGTTTCAATCCCGTAAGACCTTTGTGTATCTTCGGAAAACAAATGTATATATTTGTAATGAAATCTGAGAGGTTTCTGTCCCTCCATTGACAGCCTACTCAACTACCACTTTCAAGTGACAGAAATTTTTTTCACTTCCACATCAATCTCCAATGTGCATTCACGAGAGAACAACGACAGAGCAGACATTTTCACGATACAACCCATCCCGGAAGCGCTGCACTGTTTAAAAGCAGAGGAAGAGGAACGCTGTATTCAAGCTTCACTAATTAAATTCTACATTGATGGTGCGTTAGGTCTTGTTTTTTGTTTTTTAAATGGAGCCAAAGTGAGCATTTTCTGGATGCCTTGAAAGTGGTAGTTGAGTAGGCTGTCAATGAAGGGACAGAAACCCCTCTGATTTAATTTAAAATATCTTCACTTGTATTCTGAGGATGAACAAAGCTCAACAACTTCAGGGTGAGTAATTAATGACAGAATCTTCATTTTTAGGTGAACTATCCCTTTAAATCACATCTAACCCTTACGAAAATTAACCATGGTTTTACTACAGTAAAAGTGTAGTAACCATGGGTTTTTGGCGTATTGATTACCATTTGTATAACCACAGTTTTATTACAAATACCATGGTTAAAATATATAGTTCAGTCATGAAACTCTAGATGGCGCAGGCTGACGGGTTGTTAATGTGACTGATGATATTCAGAGAGTTAAACGACTTGGCACATCCTGATTGGTTCATGCTGCATATGCAGCCAATGAGCTTACTGCCTTGCATTTATATGGCTGGCTAGCATTCACTAG